AGAAAGAGCAGGTCAGTGCTCACCCATCCAGCTAGTGCGCTGGGGCTGCAGGAGCGGGGGACGCCAGGAGACCGGAGGGGGCTCACCCAGGAGGAAGGGGGAAGCACTGCGCGTGTGCCTGTGCGCGTAGTGCTGCGTCTCCAGCACTTTTTATTTTGAAACAGAGAGTGAGCTCTGCTTCTGCGGAGATACGGCCCCTCTGGCCAACACTGGGCAGCCGGGTCATTTCCACTTCCGGCTCTGCACCTCTTATCTTGCTAAGTTGCTAAATTACCCAGGCTGGACTCCAATTTGCCATTCTCCCGCCTTAGCCCTCCCACAGCACGCAGGACTCTCTTAGCCCAACTAAGGGAAGGCACTTTTGCCTTGCCCTTTGGCGCCCCCTTCTTTGCCCTTCATCTTTGCCCTAGGACTCAGGAGACCTGTAATTCATACACTGTACATTGTATATACTTTTTTTTTTTAATCCTGAGGCAGGATCTTACTTTGTAGTTCAGGCTGGCCCGAACTCACATCGATCCTCCTGCCTCAGCCTTGTGAATGCTGATTATAAGCATGTGCCTCCATGCTTGGCCACATATGTTGAATTATTGTGGCTTCCCCTCTTTTAAAGTAACCAGCTAATTGCTCCCCAGTCCTAGCTGTCCCCCATAGGTGAGTAGCAGTGTTTATGATTTTGTCAGTGTGCGGTCTTTTTCACTTGCCAAAGCTGTGTCGGTACTGGAGATGCTTTTCTTCTGTTTGACAAACTCCCTTGCACTACTTAAGTAAAGGAGCTATTGAGGAAGAGGTGGACAACATGTAGGGAACTTACATTCTAAGGGCAACTTAGTCATTTAGCAAGACCCTGTCTCAAAATTTAAAAAATAAAAAATAAAGGTGTGGGGACACAGCTAAGCGTGAAGGCCCCGGTTCAGTCTAGCCCTGGTGGGGCACTGTCTGGCAGGGGCTGTGATCAGTGCTTCAGGAGGCCAGGGAGGGGGCCCGGGAATGGAGACTGACTCCACTCTCCTCCTCCTCCGGTCCCTCACCAGTGCCTCCCACGGGCAGGCCCAAGTGGAATCCAGCTGGAAGCAGAAATCCGGGCCCTGGAGGATGCAGTCCCCAGAGTCGCGCTCCTGCGGCACACAGCAGGGTGAAGAACGGCAGGTGGGGGTGCAGATCTGCAGGGACACTGGAGCAATCACAGGCACTGACCCATGTTATGGGCTGGGCTGTGTACTCTCAGACTCGTATGTTGAAGCCCTAGCCCCCAGTACCTCTGAATGGGACTGTACTTGTCTTCAAAGAGGGAATTAAGTCAAAATGGGGCCTTAAGGGTGGACCCTAACCTGATATGTCCGGTGCCCACATAAGGACAGGTGATTAGGACACAGACCTTCACTCACAGAGCAAAGCTCAGGCAGAGACACTGCGAAAACAGCCATCCACAGGGCAAAGAAGGAGGCCTCAGGAGAAACCAGCCTCGCAGACACCTTGATCTCAGACTTCCAGGCTCTGGAATTGTAAGAAAAGAACTTCCTGCTGTTCTAGCCACCTGGTCCGGGATCCTTCGCTACGGCCACCCCGGCAGCCCTAATACAACCAGGCTAGTCAGCATCTCACTCATTAACACGTATTCTGCCTCTCCATCTCCCCTGGAGCCGGTTCTCAGGACCTGAGTCAGACAGGTGCTCGAATGCTGGTGGGAAGCATGGGTCATTTATCAGGAAAGGAAAACAACAGAGCCAGCTGTGGAAAAGCATCAAGATGCGGCACACCCTGGTGGCAGCTGGGGATTATGACACAGCAGGCGCAGTGATCCTGAAACAGCCACTGGAACTGTTGTTCACCGGCCCCTACCAAAAACGGCAGAGAGCCTCAGTGGCCATTCTTTCTGTCCTCAGCTACCCAGCAATTTGGGTGTGTACCTCCTGTGGCTCATGGGCTCAGAGGGTTCCCGGTCAACCATATTCCTGCAACCCCAAGGTCCCCCCACTCTGCCCACTGACATTCTGCTCTCTCAGTCCCAGAAGTACTTTACAGGCTTAAAAGAAGAAAGTGATTTTGACAGAAAATTCCTGTCTTGCAATTTCTTCCACAGTGAAGGTTTGGGTCTTTGCCTCTCCTCCCAGCTCTTGGGATCAACCCTTCTAATTCTTGAGTAGAGTGACCGAGCTCGCTTTTGGGGACATGCCTTGGTGGGAGAAGGGAAGTGTGTCTGTGGTCTGGGCTGGCTGATAGCTCTGGTTTAGACAGAATTAGAAAGCTGATAGGAGGTGTGGGAAGGTTATATTTAGCTAGGAACATGTTTGCCATCCCCGGGGCAGTCCTCCAGACCTCCCCAGGATGAGGGAGCACGCGTCAGAGCCCTAGGCTGCCTCCTGTGCTCCAGGGCGTCAGGAGGCAGCAGTGAAGCCCACCTCTCAGTTCAGTACTAGCCTCAGTTCCCTCCGTCCTCTGCTTCGCAGGACAGTTCTGTTAGACCCTCCCAGCCGTCCACTCTCTAACATTAGGCATTAGGCGAGACTAGGTAGCACCTTAGGGTCCTGAAAAGGGGTCAGGCTGAGTCATATCGGTTCAATCAGTTGCCTGTCAGACAAGTTACTTAACCTCCTGGGGCCTTGCTTTCTTATCTGTGAAGAGCATGATAATAGCTACCTTGTGAGTAGGCTGTGGATTCAGAGAGATAACACAAACAAGTAGTAATTGCTCATCAAACAGTCGTCCTTCCCCCTCAGGAGCCTCCCTTGGAGTGGGAGGACTTTGGGATGACTTCAGGCTCTTTCCCGATGACAAAGCTAATAGGCTCCCAAGGGACCCTGTGTGTGTGTGTGATTTAAAACATCAAGGAGCCAGTGTGGGTGGTACACCTACCTAGTAATCCCAGCGACTCAGAAGGCTGAGGCTGGAGGATCCCCAGTTCCCCTCCCACACGGGCAATTAGCAAGACTGACTTTCTAAATAAATAAATAAAAGGGGTAGAAGGGTTCCGGATGTAGCTTAGAGGTAGAGTTTACCTGGCCAGGGGCAGTCCCTGGATTCATTCCCCAGCACCTAAGAGGGCTGAGAGGGCTCAAATATGAATACAGCAAACAAAAATTTTTTTGAGACAGCGTCTTGCTATTTGGTTCACACTGGCCTTGGACTCAGTAAATAGGCCAGGATGGCCTCGACCTCGCTGCGATCCTCCTGCCTCAGCCTCGAGATTTCTGAGATTACAGGCGTTAGCTACCATGTCAGGCAGAATACAAATTTTTTACAAGTTAAACTCCAAGACACACACAAGGGGAGACAATATTCTCCATTCTCTCTCTGCCGCCAACCCCTAAGCCCCTCATAATGACAGGCTGGTGTGTCCTTGTGCACAGTTTCCATCCTCAAACACGGGCTCACAGATGGACACTTGGTTTTATATTTCATCTGACAGATTAGGGTCCCTCTAAAGGCATTTCCACAACTTCCCTTTTCATTTAGTCCTAAACTGTGGATTTTTTTTTTTTTTTTTTTTTTGGTCTTTTTGAGACAGTGTCTTGATATGCAGTTCAGGCTGGCCTTGAGCTCACTTTGTAGCCCAGGCTGGTCTCGAACTCACAAGGATCCTCCTGCCTCAGCCTCCCGAATGCTGGGATTCCAGGCGTGCGCCACCACGCCCAGCTAAACTGTGGATATTTATCTAGGTAAATATATACGGATCTGGCTTCCTTATTTTAATAGCTGCACAGGATTCCCTACAATGTATGAAACATAGTTTTCCAGTCACTTTCCGGTAGATCTTCTCTCATTACAAATAATGCTGCAATGACGATTTCTGCGAGCACAGCCCCTCTTCTTCTTGGACAGTGAGAGTTTTATTGGGGAGGCTGGCTTTAGACTTCCAGAAAAGGGGGAAGATGGGGACCTGGTAACAATGACCACTCTAAGAAGGCCCTGGCCTTGAACCCAGGGCTTCAATAGGAAGCAGGGAGGCACTTGAGTCCCCCCGGACTGGAGTATCTAAAGTCACCACGCCATCTGTGTTCAAAAGGAAGTCTCGTTGAGCTTCTTGGGAGGCGTGAGGGGAGCCCCAAGACACGTGGGGGCCGAGGGACTGGAGTTGGTGGTTTTCGGGGCTCCGGTGTGCTCCGCACCAGGTCCTGGCAGCGCTCCACAAAGCTGTCACCCCCACGGCGCCGAGCCTCCACCCGTAGCGCACCCCCTTTTAGAGACAAGGTCTCATTATGTACTTCTGGATGTCCTTGAACTCACTATACAGCCCAAGCTGGCCTCGAACTCATGGTGATCCTCCTGCCTCAGCTTCCTGAGTGCTGGGATTACAGGTGTGCACCACCACTCCCGGTTCAGCCCTTTATGTTTAACAGCAAGAGTTGCTTTCTTCGGATTTTGTAATATTCTTTTCGCAACCTGAGTATTCCGGACACTTTCACTTTTCGAGGTCCAAAGAGCGTCGAGCCAGAGGCTCCTCTAGCGGAGGAAACCCAGGCGCAGGCTGCATCCCTGTGACCGGACGCTGGGGACACTCCAGGGATCAAGGGCTCCGGTGGAAAGCGCTGTACAGCCTGGAGTCCAGTGTGATTTGGGAAAGTGCCCTTGGGGCCTCGGTTTCCTTCTGCGTAGCCTGTGACTCTGACCAAGATTAGGCTGAGTCCATCTCTAGAGCTGGTGACCTCAAATCTCTGCTTCTATTATCTCATCAATAGGCCGTGCCTCACCCCAATTCATGCCGCCCCCTTTACCTACGCGGGGCCCGACTTTCTGGAAAGGAGTTTGCTTCATAAAGACAGAATGAGTAAAGCAAACACCGTACTTAATCCTTTCCCTAGATAGGTCACTTACTACTTCTGCTTGGCTTTGGCTTCCTCCCTCCTTTTTGGCTCGGTTATCAAGCGCTCGGGTCTGAATCTGGCAAGAAGCCACGGAGCGCGTCTGTTCGGCCGATGATTTGCTTCTGCCTGGCCCAGCATTCCGGATGGAGCTGTCGTTCAAACGCGGGATCCTTGGCTCGGCCAGCAACTTATGCTCCCTTTACCTGCCGGCACTTCCGGTTCCGGTTCCGGCTAGTTGTCTTGTGTCCCACGCGCGGCCATGGCTGGAAGCCGGCTGGAAACCGTGGGGAGCATTTTCTCGCGGTGTGTGCTCGGAGCTGGGAATGGGCTGAGAATGCCTCCCCCGGGCAGGGGTTCTCTGGGTCGCGCTCTTCCTTGGGCGGGCTGGGTGAAGCCTTCTGCAGGTGCGAGTGCCCTAGCCGAGGGAGGCTGGCGTGCTTTACTGGCTCCAAGCAGCTGTGTTTGTCGGCGTCTCCTCAAATTATTGTCACTTTAACGATCAGACGCTCCGCCCCCAATTGGCCGTCTCCAGGAAGGGGCTGATGGCACTGAATGTAACGTCTTTGCATTTTCCGTGATGGGACGCGTGTGGGACGCGCAGCAGAAGATAGCGGAGTTTCAGCCCAAGCGAGGTTAGGCTGGCGTGGGATGTGGCGGCGTCTTTCCCGTAGGTGGGGAAACTCCCTGCCCCGTCCCCCGCGTGTTCTGCGGATTGCACAGCCTTGGATGCACCAGGCTGTGCCGGACAGATTCGGGGGCTTTGGCAAGCGGTTGTAACCCACTGACCTTGGTTCTGTTCCCTAAGGGTTCGGGACCTGCTTCGGGCTGGGGTGTTGAAGAAGAAGCCCCTCTGGTATGACGTATATGAGGCCTTCCCGCCGCTGAGGGAGCCAGTCTTCCAAAGGCCGCGCTTGCGATATGGCAAAGCCAAAGCGCCCATCCAGGACATCTTGTACCACGAAGATCGGATTAGAGCGTGAGTGTTCAGCCCCTGTAGTCGTCAGGTTGCAACAGAACTTGAGAAGGAAAGAAGGTTCAGGTAGCGGTGACTTGAAGGAGACGTTGCGCCAGGGTCTTGGCTGGTGGAGCTGGTCCTGTACAGTAAGTGGGGCAGCAGCAGCCCTCCCTATGGTGCCAGGAAACAGAAGCCCTGAGAAGTGGAATGAGGAGCCCAGCAGCTGACACATCGTTGCAGGTGTGTTTTGCACATCTGCTTAGGGCCAGGCACTACGCTATTAGCAATCCTTTATCAACATGGGAGACTCAGGGAGGTTAACTACCTTTGGTTAGGTGGGAGGGTGGCAGGTGGGAATCACATCTCTGATTTGAGACTTGTGTTGGTCGTTGTGTCTGCTTCTCCAGGAGTACAGGTAGGAGGAACAGGGTCTGTGGCCTAGTAGTTGGGATCTTTGAAGGCACTCAGACAGAAGGACCTTTCAGAAGTCCAAGGAATTTGAAATCATCATCAGTAGAACTTTTTTTGTTTTTGTTTTTTGGTTTTTTTTTGAGACATAGTCTCCCTGTGTAGCACACGGGCCTTGAACTATGTAGACCAGGCTGATCTTGAACTTCTACGATCCTCCTGCTTCAGCATCCTGAGTGCTGGGATTACAAGCATGTACCACCAGGTCTGGCCTCACTGGAAATTTTAGAGATAGTGCTTGCATGCTTTACCTCTTTAGCATCTACTTCCTCTTTTATTATAAAAGTAATACACACTTATTGTATAAAATTTAGAAACAAAACAAAGAAGGCATAAGTCACCTGTAATCTCACCGTCTAAAGACAGTTTGAAGGTAGCCCTGTGACTTAGAACCTCATGCAAATTATCGTTATTAAGCATTGGTTTTCATACGGTAAGATATAATAATAGTACCTCATAGAGTGGTACTATTCCCTAAGGAATAGTACCTCATAGAGTGGTACTATTCCCTAAGGAATAGGGAAAGATGAAATAAGAAAATGCATACAGTTTTTAGTTCAGGGGCTTTGACAAAGTAAACTTTCAATAAATATTAACCTCTAATCCCAGCTATTCAGGAGGCTGAGGCAGGAGGATCACAAGTTTAAGACTAAGTAAGAGCCTGTCTCAAAAAAAAAAAAAAAAGGCTAGAAATGTAGTTTTGTGATAGTGACCCCGGATTAGATCTCCAATACCACACACACACTCAAAGGTTAGCTATTGTTACTATTAACATTTGGGTCTATTTCCTTCTTTCTATGTGTATATGTTGACATATATATATATATATATATATATATATATATATGAAATCAGTACTATATGATACAAGTAATTTGTGGCCTACTTAACAGTGTAAGCATTTTAGCATGTTGTTGTATATTTAAAAATATATTAGCCTGTTGTGGGTGTTCTGTAATTTAATCATTGTCTGTGTATTGGACATTAATGGTGTTTATATACTATTAGCCAAAACAAATAGCAGTATTTTTGAACATATATTTTCTCTGTAACACTAGTTATTTCCTTAAGGGGGAGTTTTTTGTTTGTTTGTTTGGGGTTTTTTTTGTTCTTTTCTGGTACTGGGAATCGAACTCACGACCTTGTGCTTGCCAGGCAGGCGCTGTGCCGCTGAGTTAAATCCCCAACCCCAAGAGGGATTTTTGTTGCTAGAATTGACTAGTCAGATGTTGTGAACTCTTACCTAATTTGTTTAAAAAAGCTACTTTATACTCTGATTAGCAGTATTTGAGAGTTCTTTATCCTTGTCAGCATTGATAATTATTTAAATTTTTCCTGCTATAGTTTTAAGATAGTGTCTAGAGATTTTAATTTGTTTCTTTGATTAGTAAGAAGTTTCCCCATTTTCATGTTGATTGACCATTTTCATTTAATTTAATTTTTAAATTTTTTTAGCACCAGGAATCAAACTCAGGACCCTGTGCTTGCCAGGCAGACACTGTGCTGCTGAGTTATATCTCCGGACCTTAATTTTATTTTTGAAAATTTGTTTTTTACCTATTTTAGTAATTGCTATTTATTAATAAAAATTCTTTCTAGAAATAAAGATATCACAACATTTGTAGAATTAAAGAGGTATATTGCAAACATTTTTCATACATTATTTGCTATTGGTCAAATGAGATTGGACGCATTTGAGGTGGTATTATTTGCCATTGATACTGCTTTTTTGTTTTGTTTTGTTTTGTTTTCCAATACTGGGAATTGAACTCATGACCTTGCGCTTGCCAGGCAGGCACTGTGCTGCTGAGCTAAATCCCCAGCCCCTGGTACTGCTTTTTTAAAAATGTGAAAAAAAATGTATAGAAGTTGATTATTTCATTCTACAAATGTTTTCTGTGGTACCTTCTATGTTCCAGGCATTGTGCTGGCCATTAGGATATTGTATGTATTCAAATCTACCAATTTTTTTTTCTTTTTTTTTTTTTTTTTTTGTCTTTTTGAGACAGGGTTTCACTATGCAGTTCAGGCTGGACTTGAACTCACTTCATAGTCCAGGCTGGCCTCAAACTTGCAGTGATCCTACTGCGTCAGCCTCCCAAGTGCTGGAATTATAGGCATGCGCCACCACACCTGGCCTTTGTTATTTTATTTTATTATTTTTGGATTTTTTGAGACTGGGTCTTGCTGTAGTTCAGGCTATCTTTGAACTCACTATATGGCCCGGGCTATGGCAATTTTCCTGCCTCAGCCTCCTGAGTGCTGGGATTGCAGGTGTGCACCAGCACCTTGGCTGAACACCCACTGTTTACCAGGCACCCTTTCAGCCTCTGAGTGATAATAGGGGAGATGCTAGATGTCAGATATGCTGAGTTTGTGTTCCCCAAAGTCAAAGAATAAATTCTAAGGAACAATGGAGGTTAAAAGTAGGAAAATTTATTGGAGAAAAGGAATAGGGAATAAGAATAGGGAATAGGATAGCTCCTGAGAGACAGGAGGGGTCCCAAATGGGTTGTGTTCTACCAATATTTTGAAAATTTTTTTTAAGTTTTAAAAATTTGTATTTGTATTAGTTCATGTTTGCAGAACATAATACATTCCTCCTACGAGTTGGTGCAGGCATGTGACACATTTTAACTCTTTTTCATTCCCTTCTCTTCTTCCCTTCTACCTCCCTCCATCTCTTGGTCTCTTTCCTTTTACAAAAGATCGATCTCTCTCTCTCTCTCTCTCTCTCTCTCTCTCTCTCTCTCTCTCTCTCTGTCCTGTTACCTGTCTCTTATTTTACTCTGTTTCTTTTTTGGGTTCTCATATAGAGAAACTGTGCAATACTTAAGCTTGTATGTCTGATTTATTTCAATTTTTTTCTTTTTGGTCTTACTACTTTTCAATTTACCATGTGCAGGAAGGTCTTTTTCAGTAATTCAAATAGCTTTTACTGAGTCACTTTCAAAGTGTGAATCAGGTGTTGAAACAGGTAGAAATATTTGTTCTTAAATCTTGTTCCCTTCTTCCCTCTCCTTTTCCTTCAAACATGACTAACCTTCAGAAATGTGCTTCTAATGGTTTCCCACCAACACTGTTAGAACTAGCTCCCTGTCTGTCTGTCTGTCTGTCTGCCTGCCTATCTGTCTGTCTGTCTGTCTATCTATCTATCTATCTATCTATCTACCTATCTTATCTATTTTTTATGATGCTGAGGATTGAACTCAGGATCTTCACACTGAGCTCCATCTCTAGCCCTTTTTCTATTTTTTATTTGGACACAGTATCTCATGAAATTACTGAGTTGCCCAGGCTGGGCTGGAACTTGTGATCTTCAGTGGCCTCAGCCTCCCAGGCGCTGGGTTTGTAAGCGTGTGCCACCATGCCTGTCGCTTCTGTTATTTTCATAGTAAAGAACAGGTTAGATGTCACATTCCTAGAGGTCGTTCTCTGCTGCTTCCCAGTGTTATGTCGCCCCTTCTGTGTGAGGAGTACTTTGTTCCATTGCACCTGTCATGGTCTTAGACTATTTTTAATAGCTTTGCATACCAGACACATGTCCTTAGTCATACATTTATCAAACACTACCGTAGCCCACACACTGCCTTACTCATCCTTATCATTCCAGTGCTTCACCCAGGGCTCATCGTCTCTCAGGTGAAGAAGTTATGGATGAATGAACCATATAGCTAGTGGTGGGAGACATCAGAGAAAATTCCTTGATGGCGAAGGATGGCGGGCCAAGGTTGGGGCTGTTTGAAGAATAGCCATGAGTATTTTATTAGCGCCCTGGAGCAACTTCAAGAACACTGGATTAGAAACTCTGTCTGTGCCACATTCAGCTTCCCTACGGACACATCCTAACTAAGTGCAAATCGCTCACTGGGAGTTCACTGACAAGCCCTTTCAAATAGTCATAGTAGGGTTCTTTCCCCCGCCCCCCCCCCTCTTTTTGAGACAGGGTTTCCCTATGCAGTTCAGGCTGGCCTTGAACTTCCTTTGTAGCCCAGGCTGGTCTTGAACTCAATGGTAATTCTCCTGCCTCAGCCTCCCAAGTGCTAGGATTACAGACATGCACCACCACACTTGGCCAGTCATGTTAGTTTTTATTGCCTAGATTTTGTATTTTTTTTTTTTTATGTTAACACCAGTGCTTGTGCCTAATTGATTTGCTTTACTTGTAGTACTGGGCCTTGTATATGCTGTGCATGGGCTCTACAGCTGAGCTGCATTCCCAGCTCTGGTTGTGCCTAATGGAAATTATTCTTACACTGTTCCTGGAGGCAAGAAAATGGAGCTGACTATCTTTTAGGACTCTTGTTTTTTTTTTTTCCATAACAGTTTCTTGAGATAGCAGAACAGGTGTGTTTTGCTCTGTGTGGAAATTCAAGGTAGGACATTAGATCTCTGGACACATTAGACTTTTTCAGTGCCTTTCTGCTCAGTACCTTTGCATGTACGTAATGGTCAGGATGCTTGCATGTTTCCTTTATACCTTAGCATCATTTGTGAAGCAAAATCAAAAGACAACCCAAAAATGGAAAACATTTTTATAACGTGTATGACAAGGGACTGATTTTCTGTTTATCTGACTATAAAGTTTGCTTTGAAACTGACAAGCAAGCAAAAGACACTGTCTTGTTTTTTTGATTTTTTTTTTTTAATATTGTCACTTTATTTATTTATTTTTGTCTTTTTGAGATAGGGTCTTGTTATGCAGTTCAGGCTGGCCTTGAGCTCACTTTATAGCCCAGTCTGGTCTCGAACTTGCAACGATCCTCCTGCCTCAGCCTCCCGATTGCTGGGATTACAGGCGTGCACCACCATGCTCGGAAAAAGACACTGTCTTGTTTTGGGCTGTCACAACACATTCCATAGGCCTCAGTAAACAGAAATTTACCTCTGTAAGTAAAATAACTTTATAAAGCCTGATAGTTTTGGAGGCCATAGTCTGAGACCAGGGTGCCAGGATGGAGGGGTTCTGGCGAGAGCCCTGCTTGAGAGAGGACTGTCTTCTTGCTGCGTCCTTACACTGGGGAGAGCAGAGGGGGGAGCGGGGCCTCTCCTGGTTTCTAAGGACACTGACCCACCACGAGGAGACCACATCCCAGCCTCCCAGAGGCCCTGTCTCCAAACTCTGTCACCTTGGAGATCAGGCTTTCAACATAAGAATTTTAGGGGGCACAAACATTCAGTTTATAACAAGCACCCGCTGGAAAATGAGCAAAGAACATGGATAGTTACCAAAAAAGGAAATTGAGTGTGCTTTTAAACTTGCAGAGCTAGCCAGTCCCTTTCCTAAAAAAGGCAAATTAGAAGTACCAGTTACTGTTTCTTACTTATCCAATTGGCAAAGATCAAACAGTTGGAATATATACCTTCTTCAGGACAGAGGGAAATAGGTACTCATACATTTTTTTTTTACATTAAATTTTTGGGGTACATTTTAGATAAAGTAATGATCACATTCATCATGGAGGATTTGTACCTATACACGATATAACTTTTTTTTCCCCATTCTCCTCCCCTCCCTTCAACTCCTCCTCCCCTTTCCATTTACAAAGCTTTGTTTCCATGTCTTTCCTTCTTTCGTCTTTTTTTTTTTTTTTTTGCTTTTCTGCTCCCCCGTCCCTGTTCTCTTATTCATTTTGATCCTTATTTACACTTTCCGTTTCTGTCACGGCACTCATACCTTCATGAAAGTATAAATTGGGACAGGTGCTTTGGGAAGCATTTTTGTGACTCGGAAGGCTTATTTACAACTGCAGTACCTTGATCCAGTAACACCATTTTTGTGACTGTATTCCGTAGACTTTCTGCACAATGCGCAGACACAGATAATCCCTGTAGCAGTGGCTAAAGCAGCAGAGGACAGGAAATAGCTGTGTGCACCGATTCTCTAAGAAATAATGTTACAGAGGCAAGGTGGAAGAGGAAGGAATGGGGAGTGGCTGTTTAATGGGTATAGGACCTTCTTTGGGAGCATGAAAATGCTTGAAACGGGATGGAGTTCATAGTTACGTGACTGTGATTGTACTAAACAGATTTTTTTGGTACTGGGAATCGAACTCAGGACCTTGCCCTTGCCAGGCAGACACTTACACCACTGAGCTATATCCCTGGCCCTGTACTAAATATTATTAAAAATCCACTTTAAAAAACTTTTTTTTTTTTTTTGGAGAATCTTGCTCGTAGTTCAGACTGACCTCACTGTATCTCAGACTGGCCTTGAACTTACGATCCTCCTGTCTCAGCCACCTGAGTGCTGGGATTATAGGCGTGCACCAACAGGCCCAGCTCAAGAAGGGTTAATTTTTTGATTTGGGAATTTTACTTCAATATAAAAAAAGAAGATGTGCAGTAGGGTTGCTCATCCTTTACAGGTTAAAGACTGTGGTTGGGACTACAAAGGAGGTGCCTAAGGGCTTGAATGCTGGAGGGTTATTCCGGGTGGGTACACAGGAAACTGGTTCACGCCACTTTCTGCAAGGGGGACTGGGGAATTGGGACGCAGAAGGAAGAGGAAATGTGATTTTTGTGTTTCTATTTTGTAGGAAATTTTATTCTGCTTATGGATCTGGTCAAAAAGCTTTTGAGCTGTTCAACCCAAACTTCAAATCTGTCTGTCAACGGTAAGCCGTTTTCAAGTCCTGAGTTACCTCCCTCTCTTCCCTGCTGAGGATTTCACTATCATTTGAGAAGTTTTATTGAATTTTACTTGAGAAAAAGACGTAGCTGTAGGAATATCTCTTGAAGATGTGCTCCATAGTAGGATGTCGTCTTGTCAGCCCAGACACTGTAACGGCTGAGATGTGGCCGCTTCGAATTCCAGGTTTGTGGAGAAGTACATTGAGCTGCAGAATCTTGGAGAAACAGATGAAGAGAAGTTATTCGTGGAAACGGGAAAAGCTTTATTGGCAGAAGGTGTCATTTTAAGACGAGTAGGAGAAGCAAGGCCTGTGAGTACTTTGTTGTTAAAATTGTTCTTGTTGGGCCTGGGTGTAGCTCGGTGGTAGAGCACTTGTCCAGCCTGCGCCAGGCCCTGGGTTTGATCCCCAGCGTGCACAAGAAGTTATTACAGTTGGTATCTTTGCCTGTTTATCAGAAGTCAAAGAGCAGTGTGGTGGTCTTTCCCCAGCCTGGGCTCATGTTCTTAAATTTCAGATCATGTTCTTAAATTTCAGTTTGAGCAAGTGTACTGGAATTGTGGTAATGACTGCTACGTGGGACAAGTGAGTTGTCAGTAGGGCTCTCCAAAATACAGCTCTATAGACATTGTTATTATCCTATTCACCATTTGTCATAAAAGAATCTGACAAGATACTCGTGGTACATTGTTCCTCAGTGGTAGGCTGTGCCTGGTCACATGGCTGCAGCCAGTTAATTGAGTGAAAATGCTAACATCTGTGACACGCTTCTGTCTGGTCTTTTAAGTCACAGGAAGGTAGTCACGTGCACGGCAGACCCCAAGCTGCGCTGGACGGAAACCAGCCCAAGGAAGAAGTCAGCCAGGACCAGCATGTGAAGGCACCCGAGGAGCAGTCGCAAGGTCTCCCCGCTCCCTGAAGGACTTGTGTACCACGTGTACGGACAGCACGCTGCGCGCTGCAGGGAGCGAGCTGCTTTTAACAGTTGAACTATGTAAATGCTTCCGGATCTCCAAGGCATTGTGTTTGCCTTTTCTTAGTTCCCTCTTCTGGGTTGTCATGCAGCTCAGTATCATAGCAGTTTTGTGAACTTTTATTTTAGGACATTACTAAATAAAGGATTCTGTACTGCTCATAAAGTAAATTTACTCTGAAGTTGTAAATAACGTGACGAAACCTTTAGAAAGATTGTTTGAATGGGAATCTGAATATGCTGCTGGGCTGTTCCTGCTGGTTTATCGTGGGTTGCTTTTGTTTTGTTTTTTTGGGGTTTTGTTTGTTTGTTTTGTTTTTTGAGACAGGGTCTCACTAGGCTGGCCCAGGCTGGCCCTGAACTTGCGGCAATCCTCCTGCCTCAGCCACCTGGATGCTGGGATTACAGGTGTGTGTCACCGTGCCTGGCAGCATTTGTGCTGTGCTAGGAATCTCTTCCCTGGGGCCCTCAGACTCTTCCTTGCGCACATGGCAGGGTCTCAGGCAGTTGTGTCCTGCTGGTAATCTTTGCGCCTTTGCTATACAGTTACTGACATCACTGAGCGGCTAAGCTGACTTGTGCCTTGCAGTGAGGACCGACCATTGGTGATGGACGGAGGCTAACGGAGCTTTAGTGTCATGGACTGAGCATGTTGGAGACAGCATAGGCCTACGCGGAATAGGCTGCTCAGTACTGTTGAATGAGTGAATATATGATTACACAAACAGGTGGTGTCCCTGTAGGTCACTGGGCCAGTGGGGTAGCCAGGGCAGCTGATTCAGATGACACTCCATAAGCACCCTGCCTCCCTGGCTGTGCTCACAGTCCTCACCAACTGTCCTGCCTTCCTCATTTCCCTGTGATTCAGTAAATAAATGAAATGCTTTTCAGATTGTAGCTGAGATTTTATTGTGACGAAGCTAATAGTTTTCAGCTAGTAGTAACAAGCTGCTGCTTCAGAAATTCCCTGTTTTCAAACTCATGAAGCTTTTCTACCCAAAGGCTCTTTTTAGTGAGCTGAAGGCAGGGTCCACATCCCCCAGCCTGCTCCCCTCCCTGTGTACGCAGTTTCTGAGGGTCAGTGAGTCCCTGAGGCAGAAGCAGTGCCGTTACGCTGCTTCCACCCAGGTTGTCCCTTTACAGTTCCTTGTGTTTGGGGAATGCTTCACTTTTAGATGGGGAAGTCACTTTCATTCAGCCAGTGAACCTGGTGATGCAGGCCTGTAATCCCGGCACTCAGGAGGCTGAGGCAGGAGGAACACTGAATTCCAGGCCAGCCTGGGCTACATAGTGAGTTCAAGGCCAGCCTGAACTACAGACAAAGATGCTATCTCAACGCACAAAACAAAACATGATGTTAGGCAACCACTGAATACAAGAGTCAGGCCAGACCTTGGGAAGACGACACACAAGCAGGTGAAGGAGGACTCAATGGGTAGGTGGGGAAGTGTCACTCATCTCTGAACCTTAGGTTTCAGGTTATAAAAAGCAATTTCTTTGCCATAATGATAAGACTTTTAAAAAGTTATTTGTTGCATACTTTTAAAAAAACTCAGATGTGCACATGGTTCAGAGCTTAGAGGTAGGAAGCCCTTCTACCTCTGTTTCCCAGTTGTCCACTTCTCCCCTGGGCTACTACCATCTTAGTTACTTTTCTCTCATTGCTGATACAAAATACCTGACACCCAAACTTAAAGGGGGAAGGGTTTATTTAGCTGACAGTTCTAGTCCTTAACGGGCTGGTTCCAGGGTCAGGTAGCTTGGCAGAGGGGCAGTGCAGAAGAGCCGGTTCGTGGCAGGCAGACAGCAAAAGCAAGGAAGGGAAGGGCAGACCTCCTTCTGTCTCGTATCGTCTCCCAGGCTTCGGGTAGTACCAATCTAATCAGTGGACTGATTTAGTAATCACCCACCCTTAACCCTAGCACCCTCCATCCTCGCACTGCACCATGAGTGAGTCACGCACTCTAGACTCAGCCGCCTCTGAAAAAGCCCCACCTGTGACTGCACGAGGCTTTGGGGCGGGGGCATCTAGGCCCAAACCATACCGCCACTAATTCTTCAGCCTTCCAGAAATACTTGGGTATGTAGATGGGGATGCTGTGTACTATTCTGTACCTTGTTTTTGTAGTTAATATATCTCAGAGATCCTTTGTTTTTTTTTTTTTTTGGTTTTTCTCCGGTACCGGGAACCGAACTCATGACCTTGCGCTTGCCAGGCAGGTGCTTTGCCGCTGAGCTAAATCCCCAGCCCCTCAGAGATCCTTTGTATAGATGGTTTGTGATTTAACCAGTGCCAAACTGACAATGATGGTGCCTAGGTTTCACTGTGCTGCAGGATGGCTTAGCTGCGGGATGTTGGATCAAGGAGTAGCTATCTCCAGTTGTGATAATAACAGTTCTGTTCACCGGCAGTGTGTGAGAATGGGACTCGAGAGACAGGAAGGCCTGCCTCGGCACGCGGAGGCAGCAGCTGTCACCCAGTGCCTTCTTCAGCCGAGGTCTCAGTGATCAGAACACAGTGGAAGGTGTGAAGTTCCTGTGGGGAATTCAGAACCTTTCCCACAGTTTGGGGAAAAGCCTCCCTCAGGTCTCTATGGTGTTCTTGGGGAGAATGGAAGTCTGACCTCATTCTTTAAAAAGCTTAAAATCGGCTAGGTGTGGTGGCTCAGGCCTGTGACCCCAGCACTCAGGAGACTGAGGCATGAGGGCACCACAAGTTCAAGGCCAGCCTGGGCTACACAGTGAGTTCAAGGCCAGCCCGAACTACATAGTGAGACCCTGTCTCAAGCCTCTCCCCACGCCGCAGAGCTTAAAATCAAGTTGGAAAGGCAAGAGTGACTTGAGAAACAGCAGGATGAACAAGAATCCTTTTGGACTGTGATTTAAATGTGGAGGTTTCAGGGCGAGGGCTCAGCTCTGAGTTACGGCGGGAGGAGCTGGCAGGGCAGGCGCAGCAGAGGGTGTGTACTGCGCTGTGCTCGAAGCAGCCTCCCTGCCTCCATGGCCTTAGAAATGGCATCTGCAATGCAGGTTTCAAAGGGTGTCTGCTTGGAAACTTTACCGCGGTTTAAATCGCATGTCAAGTCCCTGCACGGCTGCGCGGGAAGGGCGTCACGGTGATTACACCCGGGCTGCCGTCTGAGCTGTCTAATTCGCTGTGGCCTTCATTCACGTGCTTGGTGTCCTTCCCTACTAGAAGCGTAAACAAGGGCAGACATTCTCACTCTTTGTAGCCACTGAAGCATTTAACGGTCTTCAGCAGCAGATCCTTCAGGGCTTTGCTGAGCCAAAACAGGAAGGCCTGTGTTGTGTCCAGGCCGTGAGGTTTGTGTGAGACAAATCCAAAGATCTGGGTGCTTCTGGAGACTCTAGTTTCACTGGCATGGCCTTGGGAAAGGCTGTCCCCCTGTAAAGTGGCAGTGTTTGCCTCACCGGCTTCCAGTTGGTGTTGTGAGGGCTCCTTGTGATCATGAATCCAAAGCTCACTCATCACACGTGGCTGGGGTTTTAGTGTCTTGAGCTGTAGTGGAAAACAGGTCTGAACAGGTAGGGTGGGATCAGATCACCGTGGCCTTTCAGCCACATGGAGCGCAGGTGGGCTGGGGAGGTCTGAGCAGGGAAGAGATGTATTGAAAGCAGTGTGAGGTTGAAGGAAGATTTGCCCAGAAGCGATATAAAGAATGGAGTTGCGGGCATGGGCAGGGAAGGAGGGTGAGCAGACAGCTATTCCAAGGTCACAAGCCCGAGGACAAAAGCAGCAGCATGGCCAACAGACAACCGAGGGAAAGGGAAGCAACACACTCAGGGAACACAGCATCAGCCCTTAGTTGGAGGGATGGTGTGATGTCCCAAGTGGCGGACTGCTGTGGGACAGGTGTCTGGGAGAGAGAAAACTCCCCTAAGACAGGGTGATATTTGGAGCCTGCAGGATGAATGGGTTGTCCAAGGGGAATGGAGAGAAATGCATGTCAGGGGCTGGCCCAGGGGAATGCTGTCAGTTCAAGGGTGGAGGAAGGAGAAAGGCAGCAAAGAAACCAGAGCCCCACCTCAACCATTGCCCATAAATACTGAGGTTGCTTAGGCGGTCCTAGAGTCACCGGAGTTTATAGTTTTACCTTTGCTTCTGTTGGGTAGACCTAATCATTGGTTGGTGTTCTTGAAAATTAATTCTCTGCACAGTTTTGTATACTACTTAGCATCATTCTGCATAATTCTCTGCACAGAATTCAGCGCAATTCTCTGCATAGTTTTGTACAATACTTAGCATCATGCTGTCTGATTTTGCTGGGATGATACCTTTCTAGGTGAAGGCTGGCTTGTCACTTAAAAACATTCAGATGGAAGGGAAAGGGAGGGGAAGGGAAGAGGCCAGAGGTGTCATGTACTTGTACCACCTACCTACAATGAGTGTGTTCATGATGAATTGCAAACATGTCCTAATAAAAATTTTAAAAATAGAAACATTTAGCAGATTAAAAAAAATTTCAACAAAGGCGTTCAAGTAGGATGATAAGATTTTCCCTGACAGCCCAAGAGCAACCTACTGGAGTTGTTGGGCCTCACCCATCCATCTCAGCCATGACCAAGTCTGACATCTGAGTCCCTGTGAGTTATGGCCTGGGACGTAGAGTGGTTCTGAGAAGGAAAGCCGGCTGACCCTGCCTCAGCCAGGGCGCCTGCAGCCAGGGACAAGGACAGGCAAGTGGAGTGAGCGTGGGCCGGAAATCCAAGGCTCTTTCTTCCTGCGCTCTGTTCCTGAGCTCTATTCTAGAACAGCCAAGAGGTGAAAGTGACTCTGGCTGTCTGAGTCATGCATCTCAGCCTCTGCCTGCGCTCAGAGGACGCCTGGGCAGGTTCAGTGAGCAACTTGGTTGAGGTCACCTTGGCAGAGGGAGGGCATCCGCCCTCCTGTGGAAAAGACAAGCAATGGCTTTCCCTTCGCTCCCAGGGTAGTGCTCACTGTGCCCGGCGCGTCTGTGATTGGGTGAGCCCGGCGCTGAAGCAGTTTCTGTGGAGATTCTGGAGCAGACAAGTGGTTATTGCTGCAGTGTGATGAGGAGGTTGCTAAGGGAGGGAGAAGGAGGCAGGAAGTAAAGAGCTACACCCCCTAAAAAGGTCGCCACCACCTGCCCCTACCACTTTCTACCCGAGAGATGACAGAGGCAGCTTTTGTTG